GTGAGTCACTTCTAAATTAATTATCGCCACTGTCGGCAGATATTTCTTTGCAAAAAGCGTTGACCGCCGATCAAAGAAAGACCCGTAAACGTGACCGTCAAAGTGTCAAAAGTTATTTACGAAAGCCACCTGCGAACGTGTTGTCAGCCGTTGCTGTCGTCACCGAGTCGGTCAACGATGATATTTCGGCTGGTCTTTCGAATGCTCGACTAAAGACCGGGTCTGTTAATTGAGTTTCAGATGGGGACGAAAGGCGTCCCCCGCGACACGCGCATACACACACACACACACACTCTGTCTCTTTATCTTTTTCTCTCCTTCTCTCCGACCAGCGCGGTCAGCTCTAATCTTCTCCGTGGCTCCTCTTCTCAGGAAATTCTATTATATCCCTGGCCAAAGGAGCGCGCTTTAATGCACCTCCGTCGCATTTCACGAAACCGAATACACCGTCGTGCCGCGCCGTTCCGTCCCGTCCTGTCTCGTCCTGTGCTCTCGCGCAAACGCGTCCACCCACACCCTTCCTTCCGCCGTCCTTTTGCCAGCGCGCGCGATATGTCGGCCGGACGCGGAAGGCGCATGCAGCGGGAGGGAGCGAGAGGAAGAGAAGGGCTCGCGCGAAAAATACATACGGAGAGATACGGGCGAGACTTGGCGCGCCGGGCCGAGACGAAACGAGAGCCGCGCGCCTCGCCCGCTACGCTCGCGGTCGTGTTTTCGTAATTAATCGGGCGCGATGTTTAACTTTAGGCTTTTAGCGCGGTTTAATATTTCAGGCAGGGCGTACTCTCGCAAAGCGCCGGCGTCGCGTCGCGTCGCGTCGCAATTCGCTGCGGCCGCGCCGCGGCACGGAGAGATGCGTCGCAATTTTTACGCGCTCGTGTTCGCTGTCGGAATAAAAAAAAGTGAAACGCGAGAGAGCGAGTTTGTACTCTCGTCTCTCGCCGGCGCGTTATTAGTCGCGATAATCGGCCCGGAAATACGCTCTTATCGCGAGCCGCGCGTTGATCGCGATATTTTCGTCAGAGTCGCGAGTGCTCATATTTAAAGGCGAAGAACGTCCCTCCGCGACGCTTTAATCAAAATTCAATAGGATTACTCGGTCTTTTTCTCTTTCTCTCGCCTCGCTTCGCATATTACGCCGCGCGGAATTGCGAGGAGTTTAATTAATATTGCAGAATTATTTTACTCGTATCTTCGGTTAGGTAAGTGGGTTAAAGATCGACGAGTTGGCGAGGATCTCAAGATTATCCCCGTCAGACTTTATCTTTTTTCCCTCCTCTCTCTCTCTCTCTCTCTCTCTCTCTCTCTCTCTCTCTCTCTCTCTCCCTCCCTCTCTCTCTCTCTCTCTCTCTCTCGATGCTTCATATTTTACGATTATATAGATTTTCGTATTACTTTCCAGGCCAGACTTCCTCCTTCTCTTTCTCTCTTTCTCCTGGCGGTGGAACTTATCTACTCCCGCATTATATACCGGTATACGCACAGTATGGAACTTCGTAACTCGCGAGACAAGATAAATTTTGAATAATGCATCCTAAGATTACCGAGAGGCCGCGTGGCCGAAAAATTCACGAGTCCCGGACGGGCTTCTCGTCAGACAGGCGAATTATATCACGGCCACGCGGCGGCGGCGGCGAGCGTTATTCAGCTCGCTCGAGTGGACAGTCTCGTTGCATCAATTACGGATATCCATTAGCCTAATTAAGCCTCGCGACACGCGCGGACCCGCGCGTCGCGCCGCCCAAAGTGCGTCTCGACGAGACGGACGAAATAAAAAATTGAAAAACAAATTGATGAAAAAAATACGCGCACACGCTCACGCACACACGCACGCACGCACGCACGCACGCGAGCACGTGCGCGGGGATTAAAATTCGACGAGAGGGAAATACACGCGCGGATAATTCGCGCGAGAGAAAAAAACCGCCGGATTAAAAGAAATACGCTGGAGAGGAAAATTAAATTTACCGTGACTCGCGCATTGTGTCGCGGACGGCCTCGAGAGGGTGCAAACGATGCGATACGATGAGCGAGAGGCGAAGGGTCGGCGCCAGACACGGGGGTGGTGAAAGATACTTTCGAAAAGTTTCGACAAAAGCGAAGTACAAGCCGCCTGCCGTCGCCTTATGGGAAATTACACGATGAGCTCGCTGGATTACCGTAACCTTCCCCAGTAACTCACCCTCTCCTTTTCCCTCCTTATCCCCTACTTCGTCGATCCTCCCCGTTTTCCGCTTTGTCGAGTCATTCTCGATCCCGTCTCATCTCGGGAAGATTGCTGGTCTCCCTTTAACGCCCGTCGCGATTTTACCTTAAACGTATTCGAGAAGTATCGACGGGCCGTCCCGAGGAGAGAGAGAGAGAGAGAGAGAGAGAGAGAGGGGGGAGGAGTGAGAGAGCGGAACGGGCGATGATAAATTTACGAGCCAAGCCGGGATGGGTCCTTCCGAGAAAACGTCCGAATTTTGGCAGGGATCAAGTCTTCGTTGATGCACGCGAAGCGCATCGAGAGTCGCACATTTTCTCGCCGATTTTTCCGTACACGAGTCTGATTAATTCCAAGCGTTGATATCTCGCTTGCGCTGAATAATCTCGAAAAATCTGTCGAGAGAGACAGGTCGGGCTGAAGTGCCGGCAATAGCCTCGTTCCCTCGTTTTCTTCCCTCACCTTTAGAGGCCGACTCATAATTTTCCATAAATTTTCGTTGTTTGCAATTACAAAATATTCCAAGACGTCTCGGGACGGAGACAATCGCGAATTTCTTCCGAGTTTCGCTCGTAATATGCGCATACAATCCCGAGACACACAATGCGTCTTTGAAAAGCACGGTCGTCAAGACTTAACGGTAGATTAATGCACGGCTAGAAACATATGCACAACGCATAATAATGCACGCTCGGAAGCTCGGTGTTGGGGAACTTTGGTGGAAGAGACTGGGAGAGAGGAGAGACAGAGGAGCGCCGGAGAGGGTGGGATTTTAAATTGGATTGAGCGTGCTAATGAGTTTCGCAAATTATCGCCTCTCTCGCGTGCGCGCGAATCGACATGCGTCGACCGGCACTTTTCGTTTTATATCGAAACAGCTAACCAATTAATAATTACGAGATCGAACGAGCGATAGCGCCGGCACGTTCCGCTCGCGCGGGAAAGCGTCATCGGCTGATCGACACGCGATGATCTCCTCTCGTATTCGGTGAGCTTCCACCGTGAGTGCGTCGCGAGAATAAACCGATGTACCGGAGAGAGAGGAAAGGAAATTTTTTCATAAATATTCTCCCGGGAAAAATCCAACACGTTGCTGAAGAATCTTAGCACGCTCAGGTGCGCGCGCGCACGTACGAGGGAGAGAGAGAGAGAGAGAGAGAGAGAGAGAGAGAGAGAGAGAGAGAGAGAGAGAGATTCCAGAGCAGTCTATATTGCCGTGGACTTAGAAATAACCCGGTGATGAAGCACGTGTCCTTCGTTATGATCGATTCTGTAACGTGTCCGGACTCCGTCAAGAAGACGACGGCCTTGTAACACGGCGTGGCGCGTGAAAAATCCTCGCCATCACGAGCGTTTCGATCATTGTCTCGGACAACGAGTCTCTCTCTCTCTCTCTCGCTCTCTCTGTCTCTTTCTTTCTTTCATTCTGTCTCGACTTTTTCCTTCTTCTTCTGCTTGCCTCTCCCCCTCATCCGATTAATATTCGAAGCCGTGTATCAGAAGAAAGCCGAGTGAGAAAGAGGGAAATGGAGAGACAGAGACAGAGGGAGAGAGAAGAAATTTTCGGGGAAGTGACACGCCCGAGACGGCAAATTAATTAGGCGGTGGGCAAACTGATGAAGCCATTAATTACCCCGGCGGGTTCGAGGCAGTCTCCTTGTCTCGGGGACCACCTTGCGCGAGCCAGCCGTCCGCCGGTCGGTTGTCCGGTCGAACCCAAAACCCGAGCGATAAAACGGCAAACGCCGTCGCCTGGGCTTGAACCCCGGGACGTCGCGAGACGACGAAACTTGGACGAAAGCAGACAATGGTACTCCATTAAGAGGGCTTTCATCTTCGGAACGAAGTCGGTCGAGTAGCTTGACGATCCTCGATACTTAACCTCCAGCTGTACCCACGTTCTCGCTTCCTGTCACGACAGGCCGAGCTTGTAGGTCGCGGCAGCGGCAGCGACGGCGATTGCGGTCGGGCGAGAGAGCGATTTTAAGCTCGACTCCGATTTTAAGCTCGCCTCTTACCACGGCGCAGCGAGCGCAGGTAATCACGGAGAGAGCTTTTCGAACGCATCGGACGACAACAAGAGCGTTATTCTGCTTGCGCGAGGCGCGTGCTCGGCGCGGACGGCGCGATGATATTCGTCGCGCGCGCGCGCGCGCGCGCGCGTCGCGGAGAGCCTGAAATGATCTCCCTCTCTCGTGCTTCTTCGTTCCAACAGCCTTAAAACGAGAACGCCGGGCACGCTGGTAGCTTTTGAGTTATGAGCTACGAGAGATAGGTGGGCCGCGAAATGTCATTCTTTCGTCGATCTCGAGTACGCTCTCTAGTTCTCGCGGAATTTTCTCCCGGGCTTACCCGGGTAGCCTGGATACTTAGCGCTGGGAAAGCCCCGAAGGTCGCAAGTGGCGCAAGTAGCGCGCTATTAAATTCCGTTCGAGTGAAGATCATTCCAGTTTCCGATATGGATTATCGCACGACGTCGAACACTCGCGGGAACAACCCGGTGTCTCGAAAGTCCGACCGCATTCGAGAGTCGGGTATCGACCAAATCAGAGAATCGATGCATTCCACTTTGACAAAAGACAGAAGTAAATCGGCCGCTCTTTGTCCCGCAGGAAAGTTCCGAGAAAAAATAAGAGTCACTAAATATTAATCCTATCGAATGGAATCCCTTCGCAGGTAGAATCGTCGAAAGAAGAAACTTAGACATTGAAGACGGGGCACAATAGGCCCCGATGATACATCGAGGGTTATCAGACACGATGCATGGAATTGTGTGAAATAACTGTCGACTCACCGAGCGCACTCCGGACGCGCTGGAATTCAGCTTGGACTGCTTGACGATGACTCGATGGCGCTGAAACCCAAAGAGAGAGAGAGAAAATCATAAAAAAAATCAGAATCAATCTTGGGAAACGTCGATCAGAAAAAAAAGGAGAGAGAGAGAGAGAGAGAGAGAGAGAGAGAAAACTCACATCGCAATGATCGGAGTCGCGACCGGAATGGCGTGTTAAAACGCGAAATTACAGGCTCCGCGCTTTCAGAGGCAAATTGAAATGTTCCCCGCGTAACAATGGTCGCGCGAGCGCGCATCACATATTAAACTCATGGTAATGCATATTACATGCTACGTTTAGTTACATTTGCGCTCTATTTATTAAAACGTTAATCACTGTAAAAGGTACAAAACCCCTGCACACCTGCGAGCGCATCCGTCCGTGCGCGCCTGTCGGTTGATCTACATACCTATCTATCAGCTAATGAATGATTATGAAACTTGTCATATGAAACGCTGCGGCGTAATGCCCAATAGCGCGCTACGAATTACCCGAACAATAATAATAGAATGTAACAGTATGTTTGTCTAATGCCAGAATGATTGTCAGTCTACGGTTGCGTAAATATACAATCACAGGCTACGGTTGCATATTTATTCAAGCGTACCGCGCCACGCGAGAGAGCGCCATTGTTCTCGCGTGTGTATGCGCGCGGAATAACGACGACGGCGGCGGCGGACAGGGAACGGACACGTTCTCTGAATCACACTTGGAAAGGAAAATCAGCATCGTCCGTGCGCGATCCGGCGCGAGAGAGCATAATTCTCTCGTCACAGCTCTCTCTCTCTCTCTCTTCGTCTTCTCTTGGCCGGGCGTTTTCTCGCTCGGTCACCCATCACCGCCTTGTGATACATTATTCACCGCGTAAAAAATCAATGGGGGAAAAGGCACAAAGGTGGAACCAGAGAGAGAGAGAGAGAGAGAGAGAGAGAGAGAGAGAGAGAGAGAGAGAGAGAGAGAGAGAGAGAGAGAGAGAGAGAGAGAGAGAGAGAGAGAGAGAGAGAGAGAGAGAGAGAGAGAGAGAGAGAGAGAGAGAGAGAGAGAGAGAGAGAGAGAGAGAGAGAGACACCATAACTGTAACTGTGGCTTTACGATCTTGGCTTGGTCTGGTCACGGCACGAGGTATCTCGCTCCGGCGGAACTCGGACGAAATCGCACGAGATGATCCTCCATTAAGTGCGCCCTCGTCGTCCTTCGCCTTGCGGAGCCGGTCGAGCATCTCGACGATCCTCGACGCTTAACCTACCCCAGTGCGGCCATACTTGGTCCTCGTGGCAGAACGACGGCGAACGAGAGAGGCACATTGGCAGGCGGGGGGAGGGTGGGAGGGGGGGGGGAGCGCGCGGAGGGATAGAAAGGAAAGGTGTACGAACGCTACGTAGGTACTTCCAATTCGATCTGTGGTCTAAGCCTTTAATGCCTGCTTATTCGCTCGCCTGGAAGAGGATCCCGAAGAGGTATCTAAACTTTCCGAACGCGCCCCGGAAGAGAACTAAACGCCGAGCGATTTTGCAACCGCCTCCGCCACCGCCGCCATTCTCGAGGAATGTTTCTTCTCGCCATTGACTAAGTCGCGGCGCAATAGTTATCGATGGCCGAGCGAATTACGCTTCTCGCGCGAGATACGAGGTCGTTGTGTGTCCCGAGAGAGAGAGAGAGAGAGAGAGAGAGAGAGAGAGGTTCGCGGACTCGGTTTTCCGAAGCGGGCGGGAAGACATTTTGAACAGTTTCGAGGATCCTGCATGTACGAAATGGTAACACTCCGGCGAATTTTAACTCAACCTGATTCGAACCATTTGTATTAACAAATGAATCCCATACCAGGATATGTCAATGGTAACGTTCGGCGATATCGACACATGACGCTTGACATTCCCGAATCATCCATGATGCATTTATGTACGTCGCGCAAATAGGTTGAAACCATTTCGTTTCGGAATTTGACTTGCAGCACTTTCGAATAAACGATACATACGGGGCGTTTATTTCCAACGCTCTCTAGCACGAAATTTGAATATCACGATGAATTTAAATCTGGCAGATTAAATACGAAGATTAAATAGAATAGATGAAAAAAAAAAAAAAAGAAAAAAGAGAAAACACGCACGCATCGCGTGTTCGACCGGTCCGCGATCCGCGACGGATCCGACATTTCGGCGTCATTTTTTCGCTCCGGTCGTTATTCCTTTTATTTATTTACATTTTTCCGCCAAAGCAAACCGTGGGAAACGGCGCCGGGTCTTACGCGTCAGTTACGAGCAACGATACCACGATATGGATGACGCGGATTACGCAGCGCGCGATGTGTCATTTGGAACGCGTCTCTTCCTCGAGCGACCGAGAATATAATTCGTGCCAAGATATCCTCGTCGGCAATAATGCAGTAAAATCGCGAGAGAGGCTCCTCCGCTCCGTATCGAGAGGAAAAGGGAGTGAGAGAGAGAGAGAGAGAGAGAGAGAGAGAGAGAGAGAGAGAGCGAGAGAAACGAATCCAAAGAGATCGCGGGCATTACAACGTGTACTCCGACATCGACTCGACTTTCCGCCGGAAAAGAAAAAAGATGCGGGCGAGTCAGAAAAAGGGAGGCAAAGCAAGCGAGCGAGTGAGCGAGCGAGCGAGTGCGCGCTCTATATCCCCTGGATATCGGCGATTGTGTTTTTTGTCAAGGATCGAAAGTGCCTCGTCTACCCACACCGGTGCGCTTTGACGTTTAACCGGACGCTTATCGATTGCGGAATTTATTTCTTTTCGTATCTCTCCAGTCTCCGCCATCATTGTCCGCCCTCTCTTGCTCGCCCCTTCCCCCGGCCGTTCTCTCTCTCTCTCTCTCTCTCTCTCTCTCTCTCTCTCTCTCTCTCTCTCTCTCTCTCTCTCTCTCTCTCTCTCTCTCTCTCCCACTCTCTCTCTCTCTCTCTCTCTCTCTCTCTCTCTCTCTCTCTCTCCCACTCTCTCTCTCTCCCACTCTCTCTCTCTCTCTCTCTCTCTCTCTCTCTCTGTCTCTCTAGCCGTTTCTGTCTCCGGCGCACACCCCGGCTCGCCATCCCTTCTGCATCCCCAATGCCGCTCTCTTTATCCCGAATCACCCGGCCAGGCGGACCGGTCTCTCATTCCCATTTTGTTTCCGTTCCCCGACGGCTGTACAGATAGGTGAGATTAAGCCCCGCGATGGCGCGGCTGCGGTTATCAGGAGATTGCATTTTAGCATAATGGCTACGAGAGGCCGCATTGTAGCACCGTTTTGAGGGACGCCTCGTGATGTCGCAGCACTGTCCTGATGGGTGCCGTGGCATTTATCATGGACCAGGTATTTTTGCCCCCCTCTCTCGTCACTCTCGTTCACCCTCGGTCAGCGAGTTGTCCTTCTCTCTTCCGCTCTCTACCCCTCCCCCTCTCTCTATAACATGTCTATACGAAAAAGCCCGCGTGTTGTAACGAATCAGAGTCGCATCCGTGCGAAGCAACGGCGAACGATCGTTTTTAGTCCTCTATCCCCCTTAAAATTGTTCCCGTTTTCAGCTTCTTTTTTTTTGCCCTCAATATTCCCCCTCGTGTCTATGCGTTATCAAACTTGCTGCGTGTCGAGTGCGGTAACTCGTGGCGAGTAAACATCGGCTCGACGCACCCTCGCGAGTTTTTATACACCCCGCGCGCGATCGGGAGTGCAACATTGGTAATTCGATCGATGGACGATCCCCGGGCCGGTAATTAAAGACAACGTGACGTCAAGTACCTGCTATCGCGCGCGCGGTAATTATCGAGCGAAGACCCCCGCCCCCGCCGCCGCCCCGTTGCCACTCGTCTCGCTGTCGTCCCTCCCCCTCCCCTCCCCTCCCGAAAGAGCAATCGGCCGACATGCGCGCATCCGCTGCTTGCACAGCTAATATTATTAAGGAGGGCGGCGATTCGATAGCGTTATGTTTGTGTAATACATCAATCGCGACGGCGCGGCGCGGGCGGGTGGCGAACAGACTTGCGCGCCGATGATGCTCGTTCAATTAAACATTTCAGGTCTAATTCCGGCTTACGCGATGCATATGCATGCGCGACGCCGCGCAGCCAATGCGCGCGACTATATGCTAATCGCGCGTGTTCGCCGGGTTTATTCGTTCGCGCGCCCGACCAGAAAGCGTCGGCCGGGATGGTGACGGCGACGGGCGGCGACGGCGACGGCGTCGACGCCGAAATACGCGCGTCGCGCGCGCGCTTACGGAAACCGACGACATCGATATTCCGACTACGTCGATGGCAGCGGCAGCGGCAGCAGCAGCAGAAGCCTCGGCAGTGACATTCCCGCACGAAACATTTATTGATTTCGCCGGTGTGACACGTATCTTCTCAAGCCGTGCACGGGCCGCGTCGACGGGACTTCCGGGGGCCGTTAATAAGTGAATAAAACGCAGCTGGCGCGCGCGGGCGAAGAGGAGGCGATCGGCGCGCGCGATATTAATTCGCGGCGCACCGCGAGTTGCGCGCCGACGGCTCATTTGCGAATTTATGAGCCGGCAAATTGTACGGATACGCGTTATTCATTACACCGTCCGCGAATTATCCTTCACGTCGATTCGATTAATCAGGCGAAGTTAATCAATCACACATTTCGGTTAAGATCAATCGCCGCGCGGCGGCCGCGTCGGTTAATTAGCGGTAATGAACGGCGAATTTATGAACGCTATCCCTCTATGAGCTTCCTCCCTCCCTCCCTCCCTCCCTGCCTCCTTTCGTTTTCTACTTTCTCTACTTTCCGTGCCCGTGTCGTTCCCCCCCCGCCGCCGCCGGCGACGAGAAGTGGCCGCGCGCGCGAGATCTGCGCGAGTATCGATAATTCCCGACGGCGAAACGATAGAGCGTCGCGATAGAGCGCGCTTTAATCGTGCCCTCGCTCGTTGTACGGCGAATAATTATGGATGTACGTTTCTATGATTATCTGTCGATGTGTATTCCATGTGTGTGTGTGTGTGTGTTTAAGCTCTTGTCAATATTTTACAATAACCTTCTCAATAATTCACACGTTAATCTTGGGATTGATTTCGGATGCGAGAAATG